TCACCTTGGGATTCTCTTATTGACTAGCTCATCCATTAAGCTTCATTTCGGCGAACCTAACTTTTTTAGCCTCCGAGATATTGTATCATTTGAAGTAACTATACATTCCTTTAAGCTAGTCTAAGAAGACTTGCAGGTCGAGAGTGTCATCAAAGGAAGGTGCATCAATTTGGATGTTTTTGAGTAATTGTGCGTCGTTGTCATGCCAGTTCATGTCTTGACCCATTGGGTCGTGATCAGGCCTATAGTTGTTCTGATGGCATGGGACATGTGATGGCCCATCGTTAGCTTGTGTCTCATCAACAAATGGGGAAGGGGGCCTAGAGGGAGTATACATCCTGGTGTTGTTTCCCCATTTTTCGATGTTGTCTAAGCGTTCATTAGCTTGGCGGCGAAAGTTAGCTAAATCACCTTGGGTGTCTCTAATTTGTTGTGTTATAGTTCCTATTTGGCCTACAATAATGTCTAAAGTCCGCTGAATTTGTTTGGGATCCATTTTCTAACTAAGCTTGGAAATGCTAATTCAACAACAATGCAATGAAGAAATTTGGTGAGGTAAGATGCAATCCTAAACGTCTGTTAAATGTGAATATGGGATCCTAGAATGCATCTAAGATGTAAACATGCTCTAATACCAAAATGATGTGAAACATATGCTAGATTCAAGAATTGCTTAGGAATAATAATAAATTTACAAGCTTAGCAATTATATAATAATGGAGATCAATTAAGAGCTAATTTAAGCGACTTCTCAATTGTTGATAAAGTAATAGAAAACAATTACAAGTGTTGGCAGGAAACAATAAAATATTAATCAAGACAATATGTATTTATCCACGAGTCACACAAATCCCACGATTAACAACTAGAATAGTCACAGTGAAGTTCCCTCACACTCTTCAAATAATTTTAATGGAAGAAAATTGATAGGATACTAACAATGCCACTAGGAATAAGTAAACGTTTAATGTTTTGAACAACATAAAGTTACCCAAAAGTAGTGGGTGGAATGTAGGTGAGTTACCACTGGACGGGAGGTCTTCGATGATCAATGGCGGTTGCAAAAACATAACAAAAAGTGTAGGAATTAATGGGGCGGCGGTGATGGGGGGGGGGAGGAACTGGAAAAGACAACATTAATTAGGATCTAAATGGGGGGGGGATAGGAAAAGGCAATAGCTCTTAGGAATTAATGGGAAAGGGGAAAAGGTGTCAATTAAAGTGGAATTAATGGGGAAGTGGAAATGGTTGGAATTAAAGTGGAGCTAATGGGGAATGAGAAAAGGGAGTAATTAAAGTGGTGTTAATAGGGAAGGGGAAAAGGTAACAATTAAAGTTGAGTTAATGGGGAAGGGGAAAAGGTTGTAATTAAAGTGAAGTTAATGGGGAATGGGAAAAGGCAGTAATTAAAGTGGAGCTGGCAGTAGTTAAAGTGGAGCTAATGGGGAAGGGAAAAAGGTCGTAATCAAAGTGCAGCTAATGGGGAAGGGGAAAAGATTGTAATTAAAGTGGAGCCAATGAGGAGAGGAATAGGAAGAGGTAGCAACCCTTGGGGGAAACCAATGGAGAAGAGGAAAGGTGGAGGAAATACCAAATGGCTATGGAGTGGGGCTTGTCTGACAATGGGAGGAGAGGCAGGGTGGGCTTGCAGGTGAGTGGGAATGGAAGAGAGGGAAGGTGGTTCGGTTGTATGGGGCAGCAGGGAATTTTGGCAAGTTGTTTTGAAGAGGGTTGGAGGGCTCGACAACCAATGGAGGAAGATGGGGTGTGGAGGGAGAGAAAATAGAGCCAACATCCTTGCCACGACGCCGGTTGTTGGGTGTTGCGTTGCCCTACTCCTAGGGAATTCACTCTTCTCACAAGAATACTCAAATACACAATTCAGAAAAACTTAAGTTTAATTCATAATAATTATCATCCCCATACAATAGCCGAAGGCCTCAAAACATGAAGACTCAAAATACTAAAATGCACCTTGGACTACAACACACAAATAATCCAATATAAGGATAAAATGGGAAAGACTCAATATAACATGAAATAAGAAAATGAAATACATGAAATAAATCATAAATAAAGGCTCCTCCTAATCATATCTGTCGATATACGACTCCTGTGATAGATGCACCAAGATTTCTTACTGATGTCCTCATTACTATAATTTATAAGCTATAACATATCATGGTGCTATAATAACATCGATGGCATGACATATATTAAGATATTAAGAATTACATTAAATATAAGAAACTAAAATGTTCTTACAATAACAAGAAGAGGAACTAAAAACCATTATGAAGGTGGTGGGCTTTTGGGCTTACAAACAAATTGATATAGCCTCTTACTTCATACATGTTGCACCTATATTACATTGTATCTTTTTCCCCTTTAAAAACCTTTTATTTTTCTTTGGATGACCAATCTTCGACACCAATGGGTAACGCGGTAACTCTATTTATTTCATCTAGAATATCTCAGTTGTCTTCACTTCTGGATAGATTTATATTTTAAACATATCAAGCTAATTATGTTTATAAATTTTTTAACATAAGCTATAGTAATGGACACCTTAGTTTCAAGCTACAGACAATAGATATTTGCATAGGAGACTCATAACATAAAACTTTTTGCATGTACATGATCTCTCCAATAAATCAACATTAATGTTGAGGTTACCATTAAGAATATGCAATTTAAATTGATTAATGGGTTACACATCCAATTTTTGAGTCTTATTCAAGAGCTTCTCCAATGCTTCTATGATTTTCTTTGTCAAAATAGTTTTTGTATTTGATATAATAGTGCATTTATTAAAAATTACTTTTGCATTGTTTACCCAAAAATTTCAACTAAATAATTGTTGAATAGGAGCATGCACACTTTATAACATATTAAAGTTATTTACAACACCATTTGTTATTAAATTGTTTCGATTCTTAGAGAAGAAAGCACAAGCCTATTACTCAAAATCAATTTTATTCTTTATATAAGTAGCTATGTTTGGATTCTTAATATATATTTTGTCAAAATGCCTTGAAAACTCATTTCTTCTTCAAGCCTTAAAAACCAATTGATATTCTTGATGATAGCTTTCTATTTTGTATTTTGTCATTATGTTTGGGGAAGAATTTATTGTGAATCGCGATTTGGAGAAGGCTTCAATGGAATTACATTTGGAGAAGAAGAGCTTGTGGAACTTGACAACTTTTAATTTAATACAATCGAACGCCTAACTTAAACTATAAAAATTGATATTAATGACTTTAATCAAGTCAGCTATCCAACTAAGAATCTAGCTTTGTCATACTTGAACTCGAGCTCCTATAGTATATGAGCTAAATCTATATTAAAACTCAAGTTTGCAGCTCCATAAGCTCAACTCATGAGTTTGAGCTGACTCACGAGTGACTCGACTCGCTTACACTTCTAGCAGGATACAAGTATATGTGAAGGATAATTTGGTTTGAAATAAACTTCAAAGCATATTTTTTCAAGAAAACAAACAATGGATATATTTGATGAATTTTGGATATTATGATGCATATAAAGTCATTTTTCTCTTTCTTAATCATTATTTTTATCAAAAAAATGTATCTATCATAACAATTTAGAAGTAAATTAATTATATATTTATTAAATAATCATTCATTTTATTTGCCAGCATAATATATCATAGTCAAATCGCTGTGAAACTCTGCTTGATTGTTTTATTAAAAAGTTGGGCACTTTCCCTTCTCTTTAAGAGAGTTCAACAAGCAGTAACAAACGGAAATTGCCAGATTCCTACTAACATATCTTCTAAATTTCAGGCAAATGAAATTATAAACATATTTTCTAATTTCTGATGTCAAAATCTAACTTTTAAATATCATCAAATTTATCTTAAGTTGCAATATATAATCTTAACCTCAACATATATTAAATGATATTTAAATAGTCGGATTTTGCAGAACTCATGTTTTGATTGAAATTCGTAAAATCTGTGTCTAAATCTGGATTTAGGAATCAATTCAAATTTAAAATTTAAGTTGGTTGAAGATCTAGGAATGTAATTTTTATTTTAATGAATTATTTTTGTAATTATGGAACTATATCTAGTTGATTTTTTATCAGACTAATCAAAAACTAACAAAATTAATTAAAACATAAAATCCAAGTTAACTTTTTAATTTATTAAGTACTGTCTGCTTTGATCAATTAATTTTAATTAATTAATATATTTATGTCACCTATTGAAATGTTGGAAATCCTTAATTAATATTATTTAAGATTTATTATGGCAAGAAACCTTTGTTAATCCCTAATCAACTTAACTAATTTCCAATTAGCAAGAATTTTTTTTATTTAAGGAATTAAAGAATTTTCCATAGAAATTATTTAAATTAAACACAAATGGCACTTTCCTTTATATAAAATTTAATTATTTCTAACTTTATTTACTTTCCTATATCTATATCCCTGAAATTCAATATTTTTTCTTGCTAAATTCGATGAATTTTTTTAAGGATTAATTTTATGTAAGGATTTGATATTAAATAATTTTTTGAAGGGGAAATTATATATATGACATCTAAATTTGATATGGAATTCAATAAAAATGGCAAATATGAGTTAATTTTTTTTTATGAATTTAATATTTGAGAGTTTGTTTGGGATAGTTTTCTTGTAGCTTTGTTTTTTAGATAACAATTATAATTTTATTTGGCTACTATTTTTTCCTGCTTTCTCACTGATTTTTAGAAATTTTTATGATAAAAAACTATTTTTTACAGATAGGGACTTTACAATCAATTTTCTAAAAAGTTGCAACTATCCCAAATAACTATGTGTGAGAATTTATAAAATCGATGTAAGAATACATTAGTTCAATAAATTTTGAAGTTTCACGTGTATGTGTAAGATGTAATTGCCTTGTTTTATTTAATTTAACATTCATTCTTTTTAAAATATTAATTTATCCAGACAGCCTAATATATTGGACCGTTAATTTTGCTTTACAGGTGGACGGTGGATTGGGTCCTTCAACCATTGATGCGGCAGCCGCTGCAGGAGCAAACTGCATTGTAGCTGGAAGCTCAGTCTTTGGTGCTGAAGAGCCAGCTCAAGTTATTTCAGCTCTTCGGAAGAGCGTTGAGGGAGCTCAACAAAGCAAATAGCTTGGTTTGCAATTTATCAATGCATATAATAGAAAAACCTTTATTTTTTTATAAAAAAAATAAAATAACAGTTGGTGTTTAACAGGTAATAATGTTAAGCAATATGCTATTTTTGGCCGCTCTATTTTTTCTTCTCTATTAGAAACTGAGAATGATGGAAATAACTTGTTACCCTAAATTTTCCTAGTTAGTAAAATTGGTTTGCTTATCTTCTCACTGGATCATTGTCATTCAGATTATATTTTTTACCAACAGCTTGCCAAGTATGGCGTTACAATTCTTTCAAGGATAAGTTTCTTTGAAATCTGGTTTGCTTATCTTCACTGGATTATTGCCAAGAATGCCAGAGTTACTCGGCTGGAGAGTTCCCACAAAGAAAGGAAAAGTTATTCTGTGCGGATGCCGGACGTCGTTAGGAGACGAATTAGGTTGCGCCACATCACTTTTTTGTTATGTACCGGGTGATGTGGCGCATTCTGATTTGCCTCCGAACAGTCCAGTATCCGTACAGAATAATTTCTCCAAAGAAGGTCAGAGATGGCTCGGAGAGAATGAAGAAGACATGCTAATCAAATTAGATTTGCAGGAATGTTGAGAGGAAGTTGCCTGCTGTGTCAGCTATTAGAAAGCTTGAGGTGCCCGATTTTTAATAAACACTTCCAGCCAGGGAGCTTTCAAAAAGATAATTTGGTATTATGAATGTTAAAGCAATTTGTGCTTCCATGAAACTGGAAAGTTCAGTTCAAATTATGAAGGTTAAGGCCTTGCTTCTCCTAAAGAGAGCTTTTTTTTTTCTCTCTCTCTTTGAAATGTTCTGAACTTTTCTTACAGGAAGAACTCTTATTGATGGAAGAGCATGTTCAGCTGCTATAGGAACCCTTTGCCTTGAATGCAGATAACTCATGATGCTTAGTAGCATTGTTGTCTAGAGAAAAATGAAAGTGCATGAATTGCCACATGCATGACATTTGAGGAGAGAATATATATAAAATTGGCATACATACTCAGTAGTAGCCATTTATAAAACTATTTATAGGGAATATTTACAACATCATTTTAAAGAATCTAATGAATTGTAACCAATTTCAGAAATATTGCATACTTCATAAAAATATTTAAATAATGCGTAGATAAAATTACCTTGTGAAAATATACATTTTTCTATCAAAATGATCAAAATGTTCTATTATACTATATGTCAAAAACTACACGGGAAATTTTTTTCAAACTTGATAAAATCACTTAAAACTCTAAATCTACTTGTACAAATGTCGAAATTGATATATAAAATAGGATATCAGAAGCCTACTATGAGTTGAGCAATTCTTCCAACTAGCTTGACAAATGAAATCGGCTTCGTGGTCTCTAAAATCTAATTTATCTTCTTCTCTCTCTTCTTTTCTCTTCTCTGACCCGTCTCTGACATTTCTAAGCAATTGAATCGAAAATGGGATGATTGGGAAATGATTTTAGATAGCTACAAAATCTCAAAATTTAGATATTTAGATAAAAATCTCAAAATTTGTCCAACATCATGACGCCGCAGTGCTTCATCCAAATATTCCAGATGCTCTAGATAGAGAACTCAATGTAACAATACTCTCAAGGGCCTTCCAACATATTGAGAGATAAGCATCCACAACGGTCCCTCCTTCAATGTCGCAACGTTCTTTCAACTAATTTTCCATAAACAAAGAGGGTGGCAGTGTAACGTCGATGCCTCGACATCATTGTAAGGCTCCCAAGGAGTTATTTGCCCTTTGACATTCCTCACTTTTCACATTCGATCATAGACTCTTATGGACTTGATTGAACAAAGAGTAACTTAAAATTTCACAAGAGCTTAATAAACAAAAAATTAAACTTGCAATTCTTATCAGATTTGGTTCAGATCATTTTGAGTGAATTTGTTTCTGTAGTAGCGGTCATTACAATATTCATGTTAATGATGGTTTTTCTTCTCTAGTATTCCATAGTATTCTTAGTTACAGCTAAACACCTCATTTTTAGGCTTCTCCTAATATCTCATCTTGATCATTAGTTGGGTTGATTTCCTCATCAATTAGGTGTTGTATCCTCATCATCATCATGGTGCTGATTATCTTTTAAGAATATAATTTCAGCCTTTCATTAATTTTGCATATGTTCAAATTATCTTTTAATCAGAATTGTAGTGGCTGGTCTATTAGATGACCTAAAGGTAGAAGTGGATATGCTTGGTCTAGTAGTGGACCTCTACTTTCTTAGCCTTTTAAATTGGTTCAATATATTTTAGCATAGTCTACTAGTTTCTCCTAAGCAAAGTTTACTCTTTGGTACTCATCCAATTGGTGGTAATTTAAAAAAAAAAAAAAAAAAACCTTTCATTTGCACTTGCTAATCTAAGTACTTATCAAGGTCATGGACTCCATCATAAGTCACAGTCTCCAAGAAGCACAGAGAGGGTTCCACTCTGTACATCTTTGCCTATTTCGAATGGAATTTACATTGCTTCTCTGCTCGGTTCAAAAATGCTATGTGTCATAATTATTCTTGATGAATCATTATGATATCATTCCTCATATAATTTCTTTGTACTAGGTTTCTCTTAATAGACTTATCCCTTAATTTAGGAGGCACTGTGGGATTTAGCATGTACTTGTTGCATTTGGGCTTACATGATTTATAGTTGATGGATGAAATATTGTATTTGACCTTTATTTTGGTTGATGGCTTCTTGGGTCCTTGCTTTAGTTTTTGTAGTCTAATAGTTAGATCTACCATTAACTTGATCACATGCTCTAATGATTCCATAGGTGCTACAAGGCAAAAACCTACATGCTAGATGAAAGTACAAGATAATAAGAAAAAGGTTTGGGGCTTTTAGGGTGATTTATTTTTTGGGAAAAAAATTTGAGTAATGCTTAACCAAAAGGAACTTTAAGGTTAGGAGTGGATCAAAAGGCCATGCACTCAGACAATTTAGGTCTTTTTGGCAAAGTCTCATTTGGCTTAATAATTATAGAAATATTTATATTTTTTATAGATTGTAAAAAGAAAATGAGGCATCCTAATGAAATATTATGCATATAAAATGATTTTTTTAAACATTGAGACTTTAACTTTTTTTTTTTTTTTTTAATTTATATAGCAATATAGCCTTACATAAATTAAATTATTTAGCCTCCAACAAAACAAGTTAAAATAACAATAAAATATAATTTAGATTTCTAAAAATATTTATGAAATACAATAATCGGGCTATTTGAAGGTGGTACGCTCTCTTACTAAATATTTGACTCAAATTATAAATGCAATGGTTGGTGCCCAGGAATTAGTGGAAGGATTGAATACTTAAACATGAATTCTAACTCCTTCATAAAACAGAATAAATCATAGCTACTATAAAATCCACATCATAATAATAAAAAATGAAACATCGATTGATTTTTCATTTAACAAAATGCATATACAATAACTCATACAAAGAACAATCTATTACATTAAAATAATCAAAGTTCGATTATAAAAAGAATACCTTAAAGGTCCTGACAGATTTTTTTCTTCTTTTTTTTGATTTTTTATTTCATAGGAACTTTGATTCTAAAAAATCTAACCCTGAAGAAACCATGCTCTCCTAAAATCATGCATGCATGTTCTATGTATTACATTTGTTTTAATTTTTCTTGTAAATTATGGTGCCATTATTGTAAATTATATGTTTTCCATGTTGGTCTAATTTCGAGTTTTATTCTAATTTTACCAAAGTTTTTGATCAAAATTTTAGTTTAAATTGTAGCATCAAGTTTGATACATCCTCAAAAATTATCTTGATCGGGAACGAATCTCGAGGAAAAATCAAGTCATAAACTTCCAAAATTAACTTTGGGATCATCCGAACTCTAATTTTAGAAAACTTATAGTCAAACTGAACGTCTCAGAAATATGAACCCAACGACACCAAATTCAACTCAATCTGAGCTCAAATGGGTCCAAATCAAGGACCTGAAGCACTGTTAGAACATTCGAACCACAATTTGATTTACCAAACGGTTTCTAAACGTGACATGCTTATAGGAGAATCGAGTAGCTCGACAAGACAAATTCAACATGCCCAAGATCACCGAATTTTGGCATCATTAAGATCTTCAAATATCTAACGAACGGTCTATGATTAAGGGATTCAACATCGGCCATCCATCTAAACCACTCCCCATTTACCCTTGATTTTCCTCTTATTTATGGGCCACACCACTCAAGGAAATCTATAAGTAGGTACCCCTCCCTCTAAAAAAGGGCCCCAAGCAAGAGATAAAGAGAGACATCGGAGATCGCTCTTGCCCCCTCGCTCCTCCTCGACCACCGCCCGGAGTTCCGTCGAACCACCACATAACACCCAAAGTTTCGCCGAACCACCCCTTGACTCTCGGAGTTCTGCCGGACCACCACCTGACTCCGATGTTCCGCCAAACCACCACATAATGACCATCGAACCACCATCTGATACTCGAAATTCTGTTAGATCATCACCTGGCACCTGAAGTTTGGTTGGACCGCCACCTGACACCGATGTTCCGTCGGACCACCACTTGGTGCCCGGAGTTCCACTAGACTACCACCTGATGTTTGCAGTTCCGTCGGACCACCATCTGATGTAGGAGTTCCACCGAAGCACCACTGGACACCCAAAATTCCACCGGTTCATCACGTGACGCCCGGAGTTCCACTAGAACACAACCTGAGGCCGGAGTTCTGTCGGACCACCACCTGATGCCCAGAGTTCCACCAGACAACTACTTGATGCCCGAACTTCCGCCGGACTACCTCCTTATGACAACAGTCTTTCTGACCCTTTCTCCTGCCGACTATGGTCCTTCTAATCTTCGTTGCATACTATAGTACTTCTTGTTATAACTATATTTTTTGAAAATTACATTTTTACCTACAACAGTCAAGAATTTATTCATGAGTCATTTTTAGCCCAAATCATAAACCGACTTCTCCATCACATTTCTATTATTTTTTTTAGTTTCCCTAAGTTTTTTATAATTTTTGGGCACCAACAGAAAAAATAAAGTGGGGATTTTGGAACCGTCAAGTGTCCGCTTTGCAAACTAACTTCATCTGATTTTTTCAAATAAAATAAGTTATTTTATAAAAAAATTTCTATAATTTTTGAAATCCCTAAAAAAAATTCTAATAGTTTTCTACTAAAAAAATGAGTATAATTAATATTA